ATGGACTTGCGAATCTTTTACCATTTACAGTCTCATCTCTTCTGAGCATCATCGAGCTGTAGTTTGTATTAAAAAAGCTTCGTATATATATGCTTTTTTGATATGAAAAGTTTCCCATGATGCTCAGTGACCTCAGCTATCTAGGTTTTTGGTGACTAACTTTATTGAAATAAGTGTATGGAATAATCCAATCAGAATTCGAGTTTTGAATCGGTTATTATTTTGAATCCTGAGTCGTATTCTCGGAAAGAATAAAAAATTTAAATATTCAAATAATGAAACCATTAATGGAATCTAGGCGGGTAAGCTTGAGCCGTTTTGACTGTAACACTAGATTTGAATGCACTAAATGTATTGAAGAATTGGAAAATTAAAAAAGAAAAAAAGGGGGCAAAAATTATTTTTAAAAAAGACAAAAAATCTCGATGGGATTTGGACCTGTCATAATAATAATAATATAAAAAACCCAAAATATAACATTCTATTGTGGGATTTGAACCTAAGCCAAAAATTCAGGAAAAAAAATCGATTCAACTTTGCCATACCCCCGAGACATCCGCAGAGCTGGGGCGTCGTATGGACTTCGGACCTGACGGCGATTAAATCCTTCTGCCCTTGGGTGTACGAATTACGCAAGAAAATGTTCTAGACGAAGCATCAGGGGAGAGACCAGCCGGCCCCCAGACCATATCGGCTGATCCCTTGCATCTCTGCCACGCACGGAATCGGTTGAGAAAATAATGGTAAAAAGTCTAGTCTATCCGGTGCATTGTTTTCTCCCGCTATTGTTGTGCAAAATTCATGGAACCGTGGCCTAGTGGAAAAAACTTTGGTATTCATTCAATTACTGAGTCAAGCCCAGTTGAGGAGGGTTAGTACCTGGATGGGTGACCTAAACATTATGCCTACTCGAGCTTTTTTTTTTTTTTCCCCGTCCTTTTTTTCCATTTCAAAATAATAGATATCGACTTACTTTGCTGTTTTTGCTCACATTTTGCCATTATAATCAATTCCTGCCTATACCCGTTTTAACATATACAGGGCAAAATTCAACGACAACAAATATAATGACCGTGCGCTGTCGTTCATCCTGAACTATCAAATTAAATCAAACGTATACTATGGTTCAAAATGAGAATTTTATTCAGAGTTTAAACGTGTTTCTTCATTGTACATGTGCTCTCTGCTATCATGCAAACTTTGGACAATAATACTTCAATGTTTCATTTTGTAGGCTGACTAGTCGACCCCTAATTACGAAAAAAAACTCTCCTTTATTAGCCAATTAGCAATTAGCCATGTATATGATAATTTGTGAAATTGTATTTTTTAGTTACAGCTGTTTCAAAAAAGGTACGAGAAGGTTTTGTCGTATGTTGCGTTTTGCATTATATTCATATGTAAATAATGTCAAAACAAAAAAATAAGCCTGAAAAACGTGCAGAAAAGGTTTGTGGAAATTCCATATTGATGTGACCTTTCGCTGATCGCACTAACATCGCCCATAATGCATTTTGGGCTTAGTACAAAACATTGTAACAAAACTTTCAGCATCAGCTAGCATCCTTTTACCAGTCTCAGCTCTAACTAGGCGCCTCSAGCCCGAATGGGCTTTGAGTCAATAGCAGGCCGAAGGTCAAATGATGGGCTATTGACTTAGGCCATGCAGGAGGGCGAGAGGACTAATTGTTGTAGTCAAATCCAACTAGTCGGTCAAAGATAGAGTGAAGGCATTTACCCGATAAATAAAAAATACTAGTCAACGCGTAATAGTCAAATAGACGTAAAAGAAAATAACGGAATTAGGGTCTACTAATGTGTATTAGGCTCATGTCAAACGTTGAAGCTCACATGCGCCGAACCTTGTTATACATTGTTTTTAATAATTATATTTCAAGACATACTCTAGACGCGTGGGAATTTCTCAAGGTATACTACAAATCGTACTTTAATAATATCTACGTTATCCTACAAATCACAATAGTGATATATATGATATATGACTTGGGATACTAAGCAATCACTTCCTGAATGTAGTTCGACAATAATAAATGAAATGATCCTATGATAAGGCTACTTTAATATTAACTTATGGGTTCTTAACCGTCATTGGTTTCACGATATGAAACCCAGCACCGGGAATGCTATGCCGTTTCAATCAAAATTTACTATGGTTACGAATACTCCTATTTACAAGCTCGTATTAAAAAAACTTACGCAGTTCAAATTAAGTAAACTCCCATAAAAAAGGGAAAAAAGTTACATACCACATGAGTGGTTGTATGTTTCATTGCTAAAGCTGGTTTATAACATTGATTCGCTTACCACAAAAGATTTAGGGCGTCCTCTGTCTGCAAGTTTTTATGTAACATGAATTCAAAACTAATGCCTGATCAAAAATCTACCAATACTTCCTACCCATGACGTAAACTGCGAACACACGTACTGCAAGTTCATGTTAAGCATCACAATATCTGAGTATTCACAATGCACAAGTCTTATAGTCACTGAGTTAAGGATTTTGTTTCGGAGCCAGAAATATGAAAGTTTTCAGTTTAGTTCTCCTTCCTCTAGATTTCGATATTGTTTTTTCTACAGGTAAAGTTTTTTTCCCTTCAGTACAGGTTTTTTTCTCTTAAAAAAGTTGATGTTCTCAGCGTTCTATAGCTGTAATTCTGTATTCTCTTTGTTTCTTCTTTCATAAGCATCACAACCCACAGAAAAAGCTGATGTTACTATTGTACTGCAGTGCTTAAAAGTTTCTAGTTGTGCTTTTATGATCTCAAATCGTCTTCACATCACTCTTCTGACGAACTAGTGAAACAGCTTGAGATGAAGTTGGTTTGAAAGTTATGCCATTTGCTACTGGACCTTGTAGGTTGAAACTAACAACAAAATAAACCATGCTACCAGGATTGAAGTCTCGTTCAACCTGTCCAATGTCGGCACTTTTGCCAACATATAGTTCAATGTTACCTTGAACGAGTTCGATGTATGTCTTCTTTCTTGATCTTCGGCCGGATTGCGAACTGAGCCTTATTCGTCCATTACACTCCAAAAGCTTTTTGCGGTTGCGAATCGTCCAAAAATCTTTCATGCTTTCAAGGTTTTTGGGATACTCGGTTTCTCCACGAAACAGTGCAGCTTTTGTCATTAAACGACTCATTCCTTCCCCCGTCTTGCTCAAGAAGTGTGTAGACATTGTGTTTCTACAATGATTCTGGGACAGTTCGCGACACTTTTTAAGCGCTTTATGGTATCTAGACGCATATTCCAAGACATCTCCATCCAGAATCTTGAGGAAGCATATTGCCATTTGGTAAAAATAGGGTAGCGGGTCTTGATTGGATTCGCTAATCCATTTCTCTGTGACACTCAATCCCTTTTCCAAGGTATAGTGCTTGGGTCCTGTAATCAGAACACAAATCCTCATCAAGTGGTAGGCCATTGAGCTTTGCTTCTCAGTCAGTACTAGTTCCTCTAACAGCTTGACCAAGTACTCAAGTAGATCCGGCTTCATCATTTCAAGTGGTTGATCTTCGCAGCTCAAAATATACTGCGCTTGAAGACGCTTCAATTCATTCTGGGAAGATCTGGGGAAATTTTCAGTAGAGCACAGAGCCTTGCAAGCCTGGATGACATCTTCTTTGCCTTTTCGAGTGAACGATACCCTCTTTTCCTTGTTGAATGTCTTCATTAACGAAAGTCGGACTTCGTTCGCTTGTCGTTGCGTTCTCTCCGGGTCCAGGAGCGTTGGCACAGACTGTACAATCTTATCAACAACATCCAAAAGATGAAAAGAATCACTTATACATGTACGGAAGAATGGAGGAGCCTTTGTAGTAATGAACTGCAAACTCTTATTAGAATCACCTTCGCACTGGGATTTTGCTATCCAGTCGATGCATGCCAGCCAAACTCTGACTTCACCAATGAGAGGGTTTGGAAAAGTTGGTGGGAAGTTTCTCGCCTTCTTGAATGCATCTAGAGCTTGATTTGCTAAATCTTCTAAGTGTGACAAAGATTTGATCTTATTCGAATTGATTAGATGTTGCAGTTCTAGTTGCAAGACCAATCCCTTTGCATCATATACTATCCTGGTTCTTGATTTTGCATTCCTGGTATCAAGAGCTCGAGTGATCATGTCTTTGGCCTTTTGAAAAGATGGCGGTCTTTTCTTCGCAAAGAATCTTGCCGCACTTGCAAACACTATTGCATCTCCGGTTTTCTCTGCAGCTCCGGCAAAGATTTCACCTGCTAAATCGGAACTTTCTTCCATAAGATCTTCAAACAGTCTGGCAAACCTTGATTTGCCTTGCCAGCTTCTATTTCGAATGAACAGATCATTCATCAGTGGATAAAAGCATTTGTCGTCGAATATTGGAAGTTCAAGAAACTGGCGTGCAACGGCATAGATGTTACGTCTTTGGTCGAAGTTCACCTTGTCGAGTACTAAATCTGCAACAAGTGGGTGCTGAAATGTATAGCTTTCGGGAAAGTAATCCATTCTTGACTGACACCCCTGACGTTGGCGCTTGGAAGGGTTGGTAAGTACCATTAAATTCAACAGTTGTTCTGTTATTAGCTGATTAATATCTTTGTAGGTTATGCCTTTACTGGTATTACTTTGACGAACATACTTCTTGAATGCTTGGTATAGTAAAGGAGCTGGGGTCGCTTGTGCTCCGTACTTCTGTATAAAAGCAACAACGACAGCAATCTCTTGCTCTAAGGGAGTCATGGAATCAAAGGTTTCGTAAACTATTTGCTTCAGTTTTGGTCTGAAGTGTTGCAGCATTGCCAGAAGCGGAAAATGAAATACTCGACAGAGATCTACACCCTTTCTAGAACTGAACTTGTCAATATAGTCCTTGTACTTCGCTTCGAATTCCATGAGATCTTGTCTTGAGTCTTCTAGCTTTACATTCACGAAGAAACTTCTGTACACTTCTGAGGCTTCAGTTGGGTTAGCTTCACATTTGCTTTTTGACCCATGTTGGCATCTCAGCAGCACAGCTCTCTGTCCTTTGATGTTCAAAGCCCGTACAAGCCTGTTACTCAAAGGCTCGATTCTTGTATGGTTTCCATCCAGCAATACGAGCGCAGTTGTTTGGCATATGTCTTGTAAGGCACTTATTCGATCTGCCAGCTCATTTATAAATGGCACTTCGTCATCAAGATCGTAATTATGGTCTTCTAGTCTTGCAAAAGCACACGGATAGAATTCGTGGAGGTCCCACATTACGCGTCTTGCTATTGTTGACCCACCTGTTCCTGGTGCATGACGAATTTCAACAATCATAGAGAGTGTAGGTCCCTGGTCTAGAAGCCTTTGTACGTAATTTTGTACTTCTCTGCCAATTTCTCTTCTAGCGTCGTGATTACTAAAGAGGCTCACTAAGGAAATCTAGTTACCCGACATGAAAGACTCTCTATGTTCATTGAGCATCTTCTCCAATTTGTTCTCTTCTTCGATGTCTCCCTTGACGCTTGGAAGGTCCTCACAACCATCGTATAATACAGTCATGTATTCTTTTAAATAAAGGTACTCCTGTTGCTTTAACCTCACTGGCATCTGTGCTTGGCAGGTTGGCATACGGTATCCTGTGACCGAAGACTCATGAAATAACTCTGACATTCCTAGGCTCAGAAGGCTTGGATTAAGTTTAGTTATTTGAATATTAAACTTCCTGAGGATGTCACACTGGTCTTGCTGAGTGCCAACGAAGTTGATGTTGAATTCGTCAAAATTTTCCGTGAGTCTCTCCATGGTAATCGTAAGGTACGGAACAGTTTCTTTTCGAAATGGCAAAACAAGGCAAACAATGGGTTTGTGCTTGTCACTTTTATCAGGGTCAGAGTAACAAATAAAAAACTTCGTTAATTGCTTAACGGACGAAGTTTTCCAATCCTCCAACGTCTGTTGACATCCAATTTTGTCTTTCTCTCGACCATTTACGAACACCCATTGCGTCTTATGGCTGTCCAGGTGTCTGGCAAGGTTGGTGGTATGTTGGCGGCGTATTTCATCAGGGGTTATCATGTTGATAAGGCTGATCTTTCCTTCTTTGTTGATAAAATCATGGTATAAGCCCTTTTCCTCGGAACATGGGTCAAAATCCAGGACAACTTTCCATGGCACACTTCGAAGGGGAGAAAAATGCTGTACGTTTTCACGAGACATGGCATCAGTGATCAGAATGTAATTGTTTTGATGGTAATCAAAATTAGACACTCTATCACAAAACCTGAGCCATTCATCCCATTTAGGGCCACTCAAATCTTTAAGACTCGGAGAAGAGTCAGCCTTGGATGAACCGAGGTATTTGTCTGCAAGCAGGTTGTCCAGTTTTTTGTCCATGACTGACATCTTGCTATAAAGAGCATCTCGGCTACTAATCTCTTCTAGAAATAGATCACGATAAAACTTGCCAGTTTCCAAAACATCGCCTATACCAAACGAATGACAAGCAAAAATTAATAGATTTAATGATATGAATATAGAACTTTATCAAGATGATAACATATTTATTTCAAAGATTCGCTTTAACAAAAATGATTGCCACCAGCGCCTTAACTATTTCTTTATAATAAAAATAATACGATTAAATGAATGGGAATCACATAGCGCGTTGAGAGAATTCAACTCAGAACTAGGCAAACACACACATACTGTGAAGTCCGGTCACATACCCTGTTAGGGAAAGATACTCTTTTGTCTTCGCTTATTGGCTTTTGTCTTGTTTTCGTTCTCGATCGAATTTTCCATTCGAGCATGCGCTGACTCGTCACCCATAAAGTTCAAAACGTTCTGTGACGGAAATAGTCTCCTTCACAGTTTCCTGCGCCATCTTGAAAGGTAGCCGTGCCTTTGCATCGAAGCGAGACGAACGGTGAGCTTGCAATGATAGAGACATGCGAAAACTTGTCCAAGGTGTTAAAAAAGGTCTCTATCATTGCAAGCTCACCGTTCGTCTCGCTTCGATGCAAAGGCACGGCTACCTTTCAAGATGGCGCAAGGAACTGTGAAGGGGACTATTGGGCCCTCCACATGCGTGCGCATAACTTCATCAACTTCGATTATATAACTGATTACTAATTAGCCCACTTTCTTGTTTGACAGGTGAGTGCATACTCGAAACTGTCGATTCTGGGCAAATGCAAGAGCTAGAGCTAGCACTTTTGTGTTTTGCACTTATCCCCAAGTTCAAGCACTAAGGTCTTTATGATCACATGGAGCAGGATTGACCTGAATAGATTGTTACCTTCAGTTATTTCTTCAATATCTTCGGACTTCCCTCCAATAGTGACGATGTTGTTGGAAATTACTGGCCAATAGGTTTGGAAGTCTACATCTGACATTCTTCCTGAAGCAGCATGGCTTATCAAGTGATTTTTGCGATCTTTAATACTACGGATAGCCGCTTCAAACCCTCGTCTTTTGGAGATTTCAACTTTGCATTTCTTGGAATATAGGAGTACCTTTGTGATGAGTGAAACATCCCATTTGTTGATGTTACCTTTATTGAAAGCAGCCATTTCATGCCCTTCAAGTTCCATGGACCCCTTAACAAGAGATATTGCATCAGCAGGCTTGCTTGACCACGTGGGATGAACATCCATGAAAATCTTTCGAAGAGCTTGGAGGCCCACACCATAAATAAGAGTCACAATTTGAAAAAAAATTGTTTCTAAAGGATAACGAAAAATTAGTTTAGTTTAGTTTATTTGTCACGATATAAACATATACATTTTATAAAGCTTGAGACATACAAATTTTGTGACTGGCGAAGAAAACAGAACTTTCGTCACAACTGATATTCCCAAAAAAAGTAAAGCCTTAGTTCACTAAACAATTCGTATTAGCTAGGTAAATCCTAGTTACTAGCTGGTTTGAAAGCTATCTCAGAGATCGTAAACAATATGTGTGTGTCGATGGAACTAATTCAAACCTTAAGGTGGCTCGACCCCCTCACGCTTGACCGCTACCTTCCACTTTTGGAACGCTAGKGCATAAACGTCTTTTATCCGATAGCAAATGTTTTTTGCACATAAGTCACATAAAGATTGAATTAATGTTTGATGCAGTTTTTTATGAGATCGGACGTCATAACACGTGATTATGATGAAATATTTGATTTCGTTTAGAAAATAATTTTAGCCTTGCAGAGCG